TTACAAAAATAGTTATAAGATATGGATTAGAATGTATAAGATAAATATGTATTGAGTTTATGTCTGTATGGAGAAGCGATAACCCGGGATCATGCTGTTCTCAATTTCAAAACAACCCTAATAATATTAAATAACTATTCTGCCTGCTTGTTAATGACTTCTTGCTGCTTCATATACATGGAAAATACAGAAGAAATACTTATTACTGCTGAACTATAAAACCAAGGAAATCACACAGCACATCCCATAATAATCTGTGTTCACATTTATTTTTTTATTTTAAAGTTAGATGGAGAGAGAGTAGTATTATTTTGTCCTTTATATCACAAACGTCCTGCATTTAGAAAACAAGAATCTTTTTCGGTTATGTAACACTTCAAAACATTCATGTATCTCCTCTGCCCATCTGAAATGGTGCAGTCCTACTCCATCTATTCTATAGCCAAAATATTTCTGCTGATCATTTGGTGCAGATCTTAGTACATAAAGAAATGACACATCTCTTTGCTATTAATACTCATAATAAAAAAGGAAGCTTCAGAGAAATAATAGTGATTCCTGGTTGGAATCGAATTGGAAAATAGCATTTTATTTTTTTAAAAAAAATATTTACATCACAGCTGTAGCCAGTAATTCTTATGGTATACTGTATTTATGAAGACCAATGTGTCCTCTTTCTTGGTAGGTGATTGACCACTAAATAGGAACACTAAATTGTTTTCATGCCTAGAATAAAAAGAATCAAGCTGGTCTACTAGCTTCGCTGGCTGTAAATAAGTGACGGGAATCTAAGCAAATTTTAATATTGTGGAGCCAAAACAAAAGTTAAATATGCACCAAGACAAATTCCTTGTGTGTCTAATCACACTTGGCCAATAAAGAATTCATTCATTTATTCATTCATAAATGTGGAGCTTACCATTTTACATGCAGTTTTAAATAATAAAGATACCAAAAATTCATTGTGTCCATGACAATGCCGAGCAATTAATGAAACACATATTTGACTTATGACTGGAATTGAGCCCAGAATTATGGTTGTAAGTCATTGTGTTTATAAATTGAGGCACTGCATGACTGGATTTAACAGAGTGGTTGTTAAGTGAACACTGCAGTGGTTAAGCGAATCCATTTTCCCGAATGGGCATTGTTTTGCCAGATGGAAGTAAACACCAGAAACAACATCAATTTTTTTTACGAGTTATGAACACATGACTGGAGGACATTGAAAGCAGCTATGAAGGTGCTTCAGTTGCCAAGCACCCAAAATGCAATCACGGGACCATGGGTGTAAGGACCTGACACAGCTAGTCCCACAGGAAAGCAAGACTCTTCAATCCATTAAGTTGAATCAAAAGAACCTTTACTGAGAGAAAGTGATTGCAGGAAAGCAAGGCGAAATCTGAAAAAAAACCTTGCAAAACACACTGCTTTCTTTTGTTTCCCCAAAACCAGTCACCCTGGCCAGTCCACTATCAGCCAATGTGTATGCTACAAGTTTGTTATGGAAACTTTGAGGAGCAAGGCAGATAACCGTTCACCCTCAGGGCACTAAGGCCTTGAACTCAGGCTGGACTCATCTGGGAGGGACTCCACTTTGTCTCTGAAGGCATTCCCCCTTCCTCCCACCCCGCTTCCAACAAAATGGCAGGACACGATGGTGGGCCTGACAATGTGTGTGTGTATAGCCATTCATCTACAAAAATGAATCACAAGTATCTCTGGGAAAGTCCATCATAACTTTGAATGGCCATTAAGTGATCGGTCATATATTGGAGATTGCCTGTATATAGTCAAGGGAAATATGCTATGGTTCTTTCTTACTGCTTCTTGTACACAGAACTCCATACAGGGGTGGGATGCTACCGGTTCTTCCTGGCTCTATACAACCAGTAACTCTGAAGAGTAAAACGTAAGTACTGAACCGGTAGTAAGACCAGTTGAATCCCACCCCTGACTCCATATCTTTATCGTATCCTATATTCTATGTCCTACCCTGAAATATGTTTTGACCGGCCTCTCTTGACAAAGGTCCATCAGGAGTATGAGAAATGCAGCAGTAGAAGAAATATTTGCCACATTGAGGCAGTTTTTATCAACTTGAAAGGAAGAATGAAATGATATATGTTATTAGAAATCTTACTGTTACATGAACATTGTCAGCCAAACTTAACAGAGAGCAGATACCTAGTTTCATCAAGTAAGGTGTTAGAGTTTTTTAGAGCAGTACAGCTGCTTTTATAATTCAGGAATCCATTAAAAATTCATGCTGAGGAACCAATTGTGCCTTTTGTGTATATGTGTGTGTGTGTATGTGAGAGAGACTAATAAAGTAGAACTGAAGTAAGACTAATAAAACATGCATGCAGGTGGGAATGAAAAGAATTCCTTACAAGTCCTCTTTGTTTAATTTTATATTCCAGAGATTTAATTTAATTTATCTTAATTATGGGATATATCCATCATCTTAGTTGGACTCTAGGCAATGTATATGTAGATTTAAGTTATAATAAAAACAGTGATACAAAATAACAATAATCAGTAATAAAAATATTCTGGTACAGTTGTTCAGATGGAAATGGCTTGACCTATGTAATCTTTCCTGGAGAAATAGCACTTTCTGGAAATGAGGGAGAACACGGCCTGGAGGAACTGTTCCTTTGAAATAGCCTCCTGGTTAAAATTAGATTGGGTCCCTCCCTGTCTTTTATAGTTTAAATAAGATTTTATAGATTATTTGGGGAATGATGCTGTTTATTTTTTATTGTTCTTTTATTTTAAATTTTTTTCTCATGTATATTTTAATTATATATGTATATGTATGAACTATTGAGAGTCCTTAAGTCAACTGCAGCAGTATATAATGATGGTCTTCTTCCACCTCTTTCCCTTTAGCTCTTTATCAGCCTTCTTCTAGTCAGCCGATTGTGCCATATAGTAATGGTCCAATTGCACCTGATGTATCCAACCCCACCTCGCAGCTATATTCATACCACAACGACACATCCCAGTTGCATCTTCTAGTAATAAAACAATCAGCCCTCAAGTCCCTTTCACTACCTAGGTCAGGAACAGGAGAATGTCTTATTCCATGAGGGATACTTCTCAATTCTCTGACTCCTGCTCTAAGAACAGATAATTTAATCCTTATTATCTTTTCCTATGATTGCTTGATTTATGCTTGTACTCTTCTTCTGCCACCATCACCACATATTTTCACACAGTCCCAAGATGAGGTTTGAGTTCATTCTCCATTGTTCATTTCACTATAGTCAGTTTTACTTGGCTCTTATCCAGCCAGCTTAATTATCCTAGTCCTGGCCTGATGTGACTCTTGGTTCCTCAGACCTGTTTTTATCTTCCCTTCTTCTATATTTTATCTACCTTTGTTTGTTCGCACGCACGCACGCGCGCGCGCACACACACACACACACACACACACTTTTTTATCTCTTTCCTTTTATCCTCTTTTCATTCTTTTTTTCCCCCATGGCTCAGTTGACATCACAGCCACCTAGTTCCACACCATCCTCTTTTCCATTCTATGATGGGCCATCCAAAGGAAATCCAAATAATGTTCTCAGCAAACTTCAATAGAAGTTATTGAACAATTATAAAAAAGGTTTTACAATGAATTCTATTTTCCCCATGTGATGTCAATCCCCAGAAAAATATGCATATTCCATGGCTATGTTTATTCTTGTTCTTTCACAGAATTAGAAATACATTAGAATCAGTCCGTGTAATGGGATTACAAGATCCCATCGTCTTTCTGATCATCTTTTATCCAATCAGTTTTAAGTGAAGAGGCCAGGAATAATCCAGGACCAGTTCATATAGAAATCTTATGTGTTACTATTCAACTATACTCATGTGAAGTGTTTGGTTAATATATTCATTCTTTCCTGATCCATTTCTATGGTAATATTACTGTAATATGATTCTAAAGTGACGATGCAACTTTATCAAAATGCTAATTGGACACCAGCAGGACAGATGGATTCAGTCCTAGGAAATTGGCATCTTCTCTGTGCTTTATCTTATGCGTTCCATTTTTACCTTATGTGTTCAGTTTTCTTTTATTGGCCACATATAAGTCGTTCTGGCTGTAAAATTGGCTTTTGTAATATTGCTCTTCAAAGTGTAATTTTTGTTCAGGCTTTGAAGTAACTGTATGGAATAAAAAGTGCAGATGGGATCAATATTGTCTTGTTTAAGATGAGAAGCAGATGCTCATTTTCATGTTAAATGTTATATTGTTACGATTTCTGATACCAGTCGAGTAAAATAGGATTTTAAAAGGATTAGAGAAATAAATGAGTCCAGGGTACACTTGGTGCAGATTATATTTGTTTATTTAGTATATAGCATTGGTACATGAAAACCAGAAGTCTACAATGTTATTACAGATTGGTAGTTTGGCTGCTAAGATTGGTAGTTCATCCAGGATATACTCACTCCCTATCCAGGGTACCCCATTTGTGTGTGTCTGTGTGTATTCCATACACAGAGCAGCCAACAAAGTTCTGGGGGAGTGTCAGTGTCATCAGGGTTTTCCCCATACCAGTTTTGCCTCACTTTTGGCCAGTCCACTGCCAGTTGGATTCTTGTTTCTACTATGAATCCCACTAGAGTGGTACCTATTTATTTATTTGCATGCTTTCAAACTGCTAGGTTGGCAGAAGCTGAGGTGAGTGTTGGGAACCCAACTCTGTCATGCAGTGGTAAGGCAGACTACAAAAAGCCAACCTTCTCCGGCCAACAAATCCAGCATCTTTAAGACACTCAGTCACCATGCTTCATCTGATGTAGATATTTTGTCATGCTTTCTATCAAGTCTTATATCATATGACTTACAAAGGCAAATATGTCCTGTATTGTCATTTTGTGTATGTTCATCTTATTACTTTGACTGAAATATGTCTATCTTTCAACCGTTCTTTGTGACTCTGTGACTTTGCTTCCAGAATTTACCCACAATTCTTTTCTTTCCTTCACAGGAACAAGGCAAAATTGGTGTAGTCTTCAATATTGGCACAGTAGATATCTCTATCAAAGAAGAGAGCACTCCTGTGAATGATGGCAAATACCATGTAGTGCGTTTTACCCGAAATGGTGGTAATGCAACACTTCAGGTAGATGGATGGCCAGTTAATGAACATTACCCTTCAGGTAAATCTCTAAATAAAGATGTCTTTCTCCTTTTAAAAATTATTATCCTTAGATCCTGATGTAGGAGCTGTAAAATATATTTGGTGAAGAAATGATTCTATAACTCACCTTGCAAGAATGAAGAGATGACTTAAATATCTTCCAATTTTTAAAACAAAAATTATTAGATCATATTCATCATGCTGATCAATAATATATTTTCTGTTATGTCAACTGTTAGAGAACAAGAATGGCACAAATACTGGATGCAGGTAATGAAGAAGAAATCACATGCACCTCTGAATATAATCTGATTCTTCAGAGAATGGGAAAAAAAGTAGCCTATAATCTACATGTGTTAGAATATTCCTGTAGATTATGGGTGATCTAAAAAAAAACAGTCTAATGCACATTGCTGCAAACTACTGTCAACATTATTTGGCACTATTAAAATTGCTACTTGTGGCTTTTCTTAGTCATTAATAATGGGATATAATTGAATAATTCAGTTCATTTAATATAATACAAAGCAAAAACAATCATGAGTATTTAAAATAGTAAATATTTATACTGTTTTTTGCATATTTCCTTACTTCTTCATATAGTTTCTATCTGATGCTTTGACAAAAACTGTTTGAAGCAGTAAGGAATGTATACAAATTTATATTTACTGTAAGTGCAACAAATGTAGTTTTATGTTTCTGTTTTTATTTTGAAAACTCCATAAGATATAATTTTATTTATTCAGTTTGAAAAATACCTTAGAGTCTTAAGGTGCTTTGAATTAAAGCATAGCAATGAAAAAGCAGTTAAATTATCTCATCCACTCCAGAAGAGGAAGATATATGTTGGTCAGCCTATTTAAACTTATTTTAAATAAGTTTATTTAAACTTATCATGATCATGATAACAGACAGTGATAAAGTAGCTTGCGGACATTCAATATGCGATGTTGTTTCTACTTTTATAGCAAAATTGCATTGAACAATAATTCAATTTATGGTATTTTGATCAGCAGCAGGTAGGAAATTATGTCAGAATAGTTGCTTCAGTTGAATTCAGTTGAAATAATTCAGAGTGGATCCTGAATTTGACAAACCTATTTCTTGATAAGCTTAAAAAATGTGATAGACAATATCATCACCAGATGTATTTGTTATTTGCTGACAAATCACACTCAACATGTAGTCCTTAACAGAACTACAGATACATGGAGGGAAGTAAGGAATGAGGTGCCACTATATATAAGGCTAAGTGCTATTGCTATAAACCAGCCACAGTGATCTGAGTGGTTATCAATGCCTTGGATTCAATATCCAAAAAATATTGTATGGCACATAGAAATTCTTCATGTTAACAACATTTCCATCTGTCAATTGTAAAAAACCACTCTGCTTGGATCTGCATATAAATTACAATACATCATGACATCCTGGGTTCTTGGGAAGAACTCAATGTTTATGAAGGCCAACACCAGTAACAAACTGGCATCTGTGACTTCACATGTTGCGATCAGTTAATTAGTAATAGTAACAATAATTTGTTACTATTACTAATTACTGTTACTAATTATTATTACTAATTGCTGTTACTAACATGGTGAGCCAGACACGACTTCGCGACGAACAACAATAGCAACAACAACAATTAATAGTAACCTGGGTTGTCCATGTTGTTCAATATAAAGCAGGAATAGTTGACTGGACCCAAATGGAACTTGGTAACTTGGATTGAAAGAAAACTAATGACAACGCACCATACTTTGTATCCAAAAAGTGATATTGATCATCTGTATTTACCAAGAAGTGAAAAGATTAGAGAATTTCTATAGGTGAAACAAACTGTGGTCAAAGAAAAACATGACCTGAGTGACTATGTTAAAAAAAGCCAAGAACCCCTGCTGAAGGAAGCCAGTCAAAGAAACCTCTTAAAATAACAAAGATGGAAATTGAATACAGAAAATAAACAATTGAAAACTGATTTGTTAATTGAAGAATAGAAAGGGAAAAGCTGATTTAAAACGCATATGGAGTTCGTTAAGATCAGGAGTGTTAAAGAAAGAAACTGAAAGTTTTATTTTAGAATAGAATAGAATAGAATAGAATAGAATAGAATAGAATAGAATA